TCTCTCTAGTCCTTGACTAAAACAGCTTTTCTACACAAGGGGAGGAGCCGTCCATGTAAACACGGCTCTAACAACAACACAGCCAGCGGGACTCGAGCTTCTCACTCATTGTAGACAGTCAGGACTCAGAGAGACAGTCACACAGGACAGACTGGATTTATGATTTATTTATGTGTAAAATGTTGCACATTCTGAAAAAGGTACCTCTGCAGGATGTGCAGGGACATGTAGAGCTGTGGTTCGTTGGTGGCAGGAGATCTGACCAGCTTGCTCTTGGTGTGAGCTGAGACTAAGGTGCCGTCTGCCAGGGAGAATCTGTACAGAGGGCTGAGGGCATGGCCGATCCTCAACACTGCAAAGACAAAGAGAGAAGGATGATGAAAAACATGATCAACATTACACACAACTGGCAGCCTTAGTTTGCGTAGGACACATTGACACCTTAAAGGTTAAGGAAAGTCAGTATAGCATACAATAAGAGGCTGTTTTATTTGGACTTTGCAAATAATCTCTACTTGACTTCCTAGAGAGCTACAGTGTGACTTAATATCCTGAACACTTCCAGCATGGATTAAGTAGATTATCCTCTCCTTTGATTGATTCCTCCAAGAAGCTCAAAGGCCAAAAATAAAATCAACAAATCCACACTGAAGGTTAAAGAAAAGGAATCAAAGCTACCAGAACCAACACATCTTGAAGGCGTTAAAAGATTTAAACACCTAAAAATGAAACAAGTGTATGTTAAAACCCCTCCGTTAGTGAATCAGTTACAGACTGCAGGGGGAAGAGTTGACGCGTCTTGCTCACCCCTCCTGCTGGTGTTTCTTGGCGAAGGACATCTCCCCGTCGTTCTGCAGGTGAAACCTCTGAATGCACCTCCGGACCAGGTCCTCCCAGCCGGGCTTCATGGACGCACGCAGCAGACTCGTGTCCAGGGATGTGATCTTTCCTGAAAAAGTCAACGTTAACGGATTAATGAAATGTTCTCTGATGTTTGCAGGTGATGGTGCAGTTTGGATAATTCTGTTGTGGAGTAACCATCTGCCAACTTCTGAGGAGGCACGCACAGCAAATTATGAACAAACTTGTTAAGAGTGTACCACCCCGAGGGAATGTATTTAACCAAGGCTCTGAATGTTCTACAACATATTTATCAAATTGGATGTAGAAAATAATCATAGCAAATTGGCACAAAAAAATAAATCCCAAGGGCTAAAATGCAGCGGTGCCAAAAACTGCAGTTCCGCAAATGACCACGAGGTTTTGTTTCAAAAGACAGTAAATTCCCATTGTGCCAAACCAAGCGGCAACCTCTGGTGTTGAAAAATGAAGCCAACGAGGAAGTGCTAAATCCTGCAGTTCATGGAGTGTCCACTAGAGGCTGGCTCCAGGAACACAGGAAGTCACATACACACTACAGTCAGAAAAGCAGTTTTTACAGCATAAATCAACATGTTTACAGCCTGGTACAAAAAATGAAAAAGGTCTGATTAGTTATTGTCATGATGGGCACACACTGTAGCGGGTTGAATTTTTGATTTGATGAACGATACGTGTTATCTATAGTTAGGCGCTTAGCTGACATGATTGACAGGTGGGGGTGATGTAATGGTTCGTCAAGAGGCTTAAAACCCGCCTCAGCTCCAGCTCTCAGCCTGTCGTTAGGTTGACTGAAAGTTAGACTGAGGCAGGATTTCCAACATGGCGGCTATCGATTTACAGTCCATGCGCCAAAAGTTTCAGCAGGTTTGGAAACAACTTTTAGCTCATTTTTCCACTGAAAACAAATACATTGACGTTGAATCTGTATATAATCCAGGTTTAAAGTGATGCATAATAAAGGGCTCAGTCAGTTTGAGTCATAGATGGGTGCTGCTGGGTCTTCACGAGGTGTCAACTCAGCTTATTTGAGTCACAGAACTTTGGTACAGCACCTCTCTTTCAATAACAGTCACTACTGTTTCCAAAAAACCGACATAGGGACTGCGAGACTGCCAAACTCAAAGCTTTAAAATAAAGCACTGATACGCCTAATGGGTGACACTACGTCTACTTTTCATGACAGCCTGTGGCGAAACAGCTTCAAGTGACTTCTTTACAGCAGACCGTCCCACTTCAGTCCTATACCTTGAAGGTCCTGTCGTGTGGTGAAGCTCTCGTACGATGGCATCACAGGTCTCTCTTTGACCGGCACTCTTCTGGCCACACAGATGAGACACGACTGGAAGTCTGCATGATTGGAAAAAAGAACAAGTTGAAAATAATCCTTCACTTCAACTAAATGCAAAAAGTATAAAAGAGAAAAGCCTTTGACACTTGAGCTGCTACGACGCCATTTTCCATCGTTACTGCCTTTCTCCTATGGTGTAAGTTCAAACCCTTAAAGGTGTGTTTAAATGTGTGTGTGTGTGTGTGTGTGTGTTTGTAGGTAAGTGTGAGCTCATTCTTACTCTCCTGGGTGGTCTTGTTTCTGTCTGCCCACCTGTTATGGCTTCACAGCATCCCTCATTAAAAACACAAGGTGATAGGTCGGCCTTACTCCTCACGCTGTCTGTCTGCCTCGCTGTAAATCCACAGAGATCATTTCTGCCTCATAGAGTTCACTAAAGTGTATTTTTAAGACAATAATGTAAGACCTCATGCCCCAAACTCAGCCTGGTTTGATTCCAAAAATGAATCAGAACATCCTCAGCCTTTTTGTTGCACAGTGAAATCTTGGGGTGGCAGTAAGACAGGAAAGTTGAGAGAGAGAGAGAGAGAGAGAGAGAGAGAAAGAGAGAGAGAGTGGAGAAAATATGCAGGACTGTCTCAGTCTTTATGGTACGCGCCCTTCCAGGTAAGCTACCAGGGTGTCAACTCCTCATCTTAATGAGTCTCACCTCAGCCGTATGGAGCTTGGGAGTGTGCCACTGGAGATGTCAGGTCGTGAAACTGCACAGTATGAGTGGCAGCTTTTTTTTGCAGATGTTTTGTGTTGGCAAAGTTTTGAGCAAATTGAGCCCGTGTTGCTGCTTTTTTTTTTTTTTTAAATTGGAATTTTTGTTTTTTTTAAGGTGGCAGTCTGTTTCTCATGTTTTAAAACTGAAGCAGATATCCATGAAAGTATGAGGAAAAGACAAATCAAATGAAAGCACTCAGCAGTAAAACAGGTTGTAATGGCGGCAATCAAAGAAATCCACTGAAAGTAATCGCTATGACAACTCAGATTGGTATTCTGTGTGTGTGTGTGTGTGTGTGTGTGTGTGTGTGTGTGTGTGTGTGTGTGTGTGTGTGTGTGTGTGTGTGTGTGTGTGTGTGTGGTGAAGGAAAGAAAAGATCTCTACAGAAACCAAAAGCAGCCGCTCTTTTTAAAGTCACCTAACTCCTTTCACACTTGGTCAGTTTGTGTGTTTCTTTGTTAGTTTGATGTTTTAAATGGTTACTTTGAGCCAAACACAACATTTCTGTAAAAAACTGCAAGGTTTCTGCAAATCTTTTCGTTAAAGTTTAAAAAAAATGTAAACTCTTAAAAACCTCTGTAGTAACGACTTCAGTCATTTTGTCAGACACATCAAAAAATAATCTGAGCCTGTCAGAGTTAAATACGTTTTCTCCTCATTTAATATCCAAACTTTTTTTTGTTTGAAATATAAAAAAGAAGAAGGTTTAGAAGTTAAAGTTGACCTATTCTGCTGCACTCCATTTTAAAACTCACATATCATGTTTCAATGTTGGATGTTCAAACTAAACATGGGCAAAGTTTCAGATCATGAGGTAAACGTATGTTGGAGTAATCCCAGGATGAGTCTACAGAGGGCGCTAAACGGCTCGTTCTGCTCATCGTGTGATAGTTCCCACGATATGAAAATCAAGAATTTCATGAGACGGCTCTTTGTGAGCAGCCCTCCCCTGGTAGCCCTGCAGCGTTCTGCCTCCTGGAAGGCTTCAGTAGAGCTGGCCAATCAGAAGAAAGTGGGCACATGGGGAGGGGGGCCTGAAAGATACAGATGATGAAACTAACCTGTTCAGGCAGAGGCTGAAATGAACGTTTTTACTGACGATAAATTTGGAGTTTTTGAGCGGCAAATCCTGCAACAGGTTGAAAGGTGAAAATGAGGAGAATGTGATCTTTAACACACGTTAACCCAACATTAACCTCCCGGTCACAGTTTCATCAGCAACATAAACAACCTCCATCTTAACCTGCAACCCCCTCCGTCTGTCAACCAGACATCGTCCTCATGCTGGTGAAGATTGGCACAATATCTGGTTGCCAGACATCTAAAATTAGAGCGCCAGACAGACGATTTCCCAAGTGTGTGTGTGTGTGTGTGTGTGTGTGTGTGTGTGTGTGTGTGTGTGTGTGTGTGTGTGTGTGTGTGTGTGTGTGTGTGTGTGTGTGTGTTTGATGAGATAAGATGTGAAGATGACAAAGTGCCACACACTAATTAGTCCCTCCCGGTGGATGGGAGGAAAGGAAAGGAGGAGTGGTGACGAAAGGAGGACAGGACACCAGAGAGTGGGGAAAGTAGGGATGGAAGAGTGACGGGAAAATGACAGAAAGTCAAGACGGACATGGAAAGATGGAGAGAGAGAGAGAGAGAGAGAGAGAGAGACAGAGAGAGAGAGAGAGAGAGAGAGACATGGAGGAGGGGGAAGGCAGCTCTGAGACAAGAAAGACAGAGAAACATTAGAAGAGGAGAGACAGAAATGACAAGAACTGTTTCACCTCATCGAGGGAAAAAGAGAAAAAGAGTGAGACTCAAAGAGCTCAAAATTAAAGACGGAAACAGAAATTTAAATAAAAGACTCAGAGTTAAAGAAAATGGAACCAAAAGAAATGAAAGAAAAAGAAAGAGGCCTCGATAAAAAGCACAAAGAAGCACAAAAAAACCCCCATCATACCTTCGCCTTCTTCCTTGATGGACTTTGGTTCAGAGACGGCGAAACACTGCATGGTCTCGTACTTCTGCTGCGACGCGTCCTGCTGGTCGGACGCCGGCCGGGCTTCGCCGTCGGCGTGAGGGTTGACCAACATACGACAGTTGAAGGTGTGGCTGTTTCTGTTGGACGAATCACTGCTGCGATGATTGACTGAAAGATTATTTAAAAAAAAAAAAGAGAGACACCAAAACGATGTGAAATGAAAAAGCTGGGGATCGTAATCTACTTCAAATCTCACAAAAACAATTAAGCTAATTATGCTAACTTTTCTCCAAAGCGACCTTTATAACAACGTGGCTCTTGATGCTTTCAAAGAGAGATTTGTAAAGGGTTATTTTTCATTTAAAAATAGCTAAAGATCAAAGACATGTTAACACATGTAATTCCTCTTGAGCTGCGTTCAGTGTCACAAAGTTTCCAGGAGGATAACAGAAGTAGGCCACCGGCTGTAGGTGGATTATTTCAGCATATTGAGCCATTAAACATGGACATGATCCCAGTTTAAACTGAGGTTAACACTAAGGTGCTAACAGATATTTCTCAATCTAAGTGTGTAGACTGAACTCAGACGCTGCACACATTGTTAACAGGATTTATTACTGAGCTGGATCGTTTTGAAAAGAGGTCGGTTGAATCATGTTTGGGTAATGAGACGCTGATTTAGAAAATAATAGAAATACTTTACTGTCATCAGGATACAATGAAACTATGAATAATATCTAAATCTACTGATGGTCATTCACACCCTGATGGCTGACCTGCGGGAGCAACTTGGGGTTAAGAGTCTTGCCCGAGGTCACATCGGACATGTGGCTACAGGAGCTGGGGATCGAACCCCCAACCTTCCTGTTGAGAAACAACCGACTCAACACTGAGCCACAGCCCCTAATGTTAGCTGTGTCCTCTGGTTCACTGAAGCATTATGTACTGTATGTTTGTTTTTGTTTTTTAATAAAACTGTGTTCATTCAGACGTATCTTGTCAATACATTTCTCAAAGTTATCCAAGACACAGATGCATATTAGCGCAAAATTAGCACAATTTACAGGTTGACTGAGGTCAGAATCCAAGAAAAAAAAAGTTTATTTTGGAACACATGACAAAATGCCATTCAATTGTGCATATTTAGGTTTTCTTCATAAGAAGGACGCTATAGAGAGCCACAGGAATGAGTCCTAAAACCTGGAAGTAAGTTAGCATTTGAGCGCCATGGGGTCTAACGTCTAAAAGTCAACGGGGATTTTGAATGTGTTTGTGGTTAGACTCCTGAAATAAGGTCTGTGGTTAACACAAGCTGAAGAGATGTTGGTGTTTTGTTAGAGCACATAAACTACGTTAGGTAAAACCTCCACTTGTGAATTTTGAAGTTTTTACTCGTCTTTAAAAAGGCGGTTGCTAACAAGCGGCTAAATGTGACTACAGTGGTTGTCGGGGACATTAAAGGTCATCACGCCGGACACAGAGGGCGGGAACTCTCTCACTAGTCGGAGATGTCTCCTGTAGGTTTAATCTTTAGGTTCAGGTGAATATTATGTTAGTAAACTATTTATTAAACTACGTGGATCAGTTTATCGGAGATCGTCTGAAGCATAACGCTAGTGACGACACAATCATCCCACCGTGGTGTAGTTAGCTTGTAGCATAATGTTAGCTTTTTACTTCTGTCGGCCGCATTAACTCTTCAAACATCATAAACATGGTGTTCATCTGTGAAGATTATCCTGCTGAACAAAACGCCTACGCTTCAGAAACGTGCGTTTGTCCAAACTCCAATGAAAACATCCCATAGGCAAATTCTCGTTAGACCCCCATGGTGATGCTACTTCAGGGTTAGCCTACAAAAATAGGTCATATGGTTAATTCTCTATAGGGAGGAAGTGTTGGCAGATTTTTATCCAATCAGGGGTGAATTGTGAGTGTTGAGTGTTTAAACCAAAACAAAGTGAAGACCCAGAACTGTAAGCTTCATTTGTAGGTAAAGTGCATTCTGAGGGGAGAGTCGTTGATATATTCCAGTAACCTCTCCGCTGCTCTTACCCAGACTCTTGGGCAGCAGGTTCTTGACTAACTCGGCGTGATCGCCGACGTGCAGCACGCTGTAGACGCTGGTGTTCATCAGCTCCTCCTGCTGGTAGCGCAAATACTGGCTGACGTTCTCCGAGACGAACACGATGTTGCCCTCCATGTTGACCACGAAGAAGAAGCCGTCCAGGGCCTGACGGAGGGAAGAGGAGACGGGGGGGGGGAGTTTAATAAAAAACAAAAAAGCACAGGAAGAGAGGTGTAACAAATTAACAGGAAGAAGAGAGAGATTAAAGAGAGAGAGAGAGAGCGAGGCAAACATTTAAAGCCCACAGGAGAGAGAGCACAAAGTTAAAAGGGATAAAGAGAAGAGACTGGATGTTAATTAAAGTTCATTTGAACTTTCCACCCAAAGCTGATTAGCTTCAATTAAAAGATGGGGAAGCAAAAACTCGAGGTGTTACTCGGCCTGACTTTGGCCTCGCCTACGTGTTCAAACATTACAAACAGCAGTCTTAATATTCTTGTTATTTCACTCCTATCTGCTCTTATCGTATTTCCCCTCATATGCACGCTCTTCTTCTTCTTCTTCTTGTCTTTTTTAATGCTGCTGCACTTGAATTTCCACATCAATAAAGGATCAAAAATACTCCATCAGCCTGATTTTAAAGGTTTTATCTTCTAGAAGTTTTCCTTCAGTTTCAGAAAGCTTGTCCCTGGCAAACTTGAGCACACCGTGTTCTTGAGAAAAAGCCTCCCTCTTTAGCACATTGTGTGTGTTCTCGCGTGTGAATCTTTCCATTCTTCTATTTCCTGTCAACTCAGCGTTCTTCCCCTTAAACGTACGGACTGTGATTGGTCCTTTTAGCCTGCCGCATGTCTGCACGAGCCTCCTGCTGAACCTGCCTGCTTATCAACCGCACGCTGGTGCAAGATAGAAAAAAAACAAGAGAATCATAAAGAAAAAAAGAATAGTGTAGAAAAGAAAGGGTTGCTGCTGGTGGAAGATATATAAATCCTGTGTGTGTGTGTGTGTGTGTGTGTGTGTGTGTGTGTGTGTGTGTGTGTGTGTGTGAATGAGTGTGAGAGCATGTGTCTGTGGTCAAGCTCCTCCCCGTCTTTGCTAATCTGGCTTTTAAGAAAAGGTATTTATACCTCATTGGGTCCCATGTAATACGTCACCACACACACGCACACACACACACACACTAACAGACACACGCGCGTGCAGACAGGTTGGCCTTATGGCGACATTGCCGCTAACCAGAGGAACTCTTATCTCGCTCTGTGTGGCTGTGAGTGCAGCACCATTTAAAGTCAGAGAGCCGCTCCACCAGCTCTTCACATTCACATCCACTTGTTTGCTTTTCTGCCACGATTGCACTTCTATTTACACAAAACCTATCGCAGAAAACATTCAAATATTGGCAGACATTTTATTTTATTTTATTTTTTTTAAAACATATTCAGTAGAAGTAATTCTCCGTACAATTGATTATAATTTCGCGGCCATTTTTGACAAATAGAAATCGTTGTTTAAGTCATTTTTTTTCACGTCATCTATGCTCCTCTAGCTGTTCTGTGTTTCTATCACTTCAACCTATTCGCTGTGAAATAATGTGGGGGAAAAAAAGCAAAGTTTGTCTGATCATACCTCCAGCATCATGGGCCCGAGGGTGTCTTTATCGATGACGCCCGGTCCTGTGGAGGAGACGTCGGCCTTCTGCACCTCCTCGGCATCAGCCACTGGAGCTTTTTCTGCACAAGAGAAGAGAGAGAGGGTTAAATCACTAAAGCTATCTCGCTTCAGAGTTAGCAAACTTTTATTTGGGCATTCATTGCATTAATATTTCTTGCGTGAACTACAGGAGAATTAAAAGTGCACTCAAGATTTCTGCCCAGTCTTTATGTGAAATGCAAATCTCAAAGCACGGCCACCATTTTTAAATCTTTCAAAAACTGGAATTCATTTGCAGTGAGTCAACCCTCCTCCCTGCTATCTCTCACTTTCCACCACATTCACACACATAACTTCTATATCTATCCTACTGTACCACATGGCCATCACAGCCCACCGGCAACAGACCCAGGCTCCCTACATGCAAGCTCGCTGATACTACCCTCCCCATCTAGAGCCCTGATAACTGATAATTAAATGAACCACTTATATGTACTAAATCAAAATGTCTGTCCTCTAGACTCTTGGATTGAACGCTGTCTGACTTTAATCGCACATGCAGTGAAACGTTCCCCTTCATCGCTGCTAGAGTGTGAGACAGCATGACAATAAAATTCAATGATAATCAGCCTAAAAACAACAACGATAGAATGCATTTTATCATTCATTAATAAATTCAACCTTTATTTATACTCGAAAGATCATTGAGGGGCAACCCTACTTTACAATGACATCGAGTCATTACAGAAATAATTAGAAACAAACAGACATTAAATCAAAAAGAAAAACGGGACAGATAAATACAAGACTGTTAAAATCAGTCTACAAAAGTCTAATATGTACAAAGATAATTAAGCGAGTACAAAACTGCAATAAATAAACACACTGATGTAAAACAGTTACAAACAGGTTGGGAGGCTTAAAATCAGGTTTCTAAAAATGCCCAAAAGGTAAAAGTTAATTTCCCTCAAGAAGATGCTGCATGTTGTTATCACCTGTAGTCACTTTTATTACATGTTTCTGTATCATCAGGTGGTGGAACCATTTTAACAAGGAAACTGTTTTGAGGGTTAGATTAAGGGCTAAATGTATTTGTGTTTTTGAAGTCAGAAATGACAAAAATGACATCGTCTGTTAAGCAGAGGATTGTCAGTAATCATATCAGTGACGTCTGTAGAAGTCTTCACCCCAGAGAGTCCTGAAGGACTCTTGTGGATTGGGTGATTTTTAAGGTTTTTGGACAGCTCCGACGTCCTGAAAAGACACCTGCAAAGTCTGCAAAGTCTGCAAAGTCTACATCAAGTGAAGTCCAGACATTTGGATTCAGCTAAACGCCGTCCTCCTCCACAAAGTGGTCCACAGCTAATCACTGAGAGAGGATCAAAAACTCTACAATGCACTTAAAGGAATTTAGTGAATGCATGACTTGCTAATGATGTGGTGAGGGAGCGTGTCAAATGTAGAAGCCCCCCCCCCCCCACCACATCAGAAGGACGGCAGTGATTGAATTAAACAGAGGACTGTATGTTAACACTGCAGCGAGGTTTCTGTGAAAAACATCTCGACAGAATAAAAGCTTTTATCAGTTCAGCTCTGCCTCTTAACGCTTGTTCTCTTCCTAGAAAACACGGACAGTGTTGTTTTTGTGACGTTGCCTTTGGCCACACACACACACACACACACACACACACACACACACACACACACACACACACACACACACACACACACACACACACACACACACACACACACACACACACACACACACACACACACACACACACACACACACACACACACACACACACACACACACTATTTTGTGTACTTGCAGACCTTTCACTGATTACATTCATTGGTTTATTCTTTGCTTAGCTCTTATTTCACCTTCTGCTATGAGTCAATTATAACCCCGGTCCTGCACGGTTGTAATGATGCGGTGTGAAGCCTGCAGGTCTGAGTGCCTGGAGGCCAGTTCTCACTCTCCTCCCAGGCTGTACCACTGACTACTAAGCCTCCCGTGGCCCCATTAGGCCACATAGCTGACATTCCTGTTGTGGTACCAGAGCTGTACAGAGTCGTCAGCCCTTAAATCCCGTCACTGTGCTGGACTCTGGAGCCGCCGACATGTAGGTTAGAGCGAGGCTGTGAAATTTACAGGTTTGCCGGGTTTTCTCAAATCAATAAATATGCTTCACCTCGATCCGTTAATGAGCTGACTATGCGCTCTGCTTTCTGTGGACATGCTTCACCAGCAGTTTATTTAGTTTTAATCCATGTATATTGCAGCCCAAATCTATATATACAGCACATTTAAAGAGCAACATGTAAGATATCTCCTGAGGTAACTGATAAAGGTATCTTACTTTATGATCAGACATTAAGGAAACATGCTATGTTGAAGTGCTGTCTTCTTTGACAACAATGCAGCAGCCAGTATGTCCTCCTTCTAACTTTAGATTCTGCTCCTGAATGCTCTGGATTTGTTTGGACCAGAGAAGGTAGACGGTTTTAAGGCTGACCCCCACACGGCCGTTTTGGACGCCCCTCAGTTTGTCAGATATGAGAGCAGTTATCAGGTCAACAGGTGTTGCAGCGATGGAAGCGGTCAAGAGAAGTGGTTCAGATAGAAGTGATTGTACCCGACCTAAAAAGCCTCTGCATGTTTCTAATAAGCTCCACGAGCAGAAACGTGCTCAAACTAGGATCAATATTGGAGATGCTTTTGAAAAATGGAGAGAGGTTAGAACACAGAAAGGTTTACAGACCCATGCAGAGCTGGATAAACACTGAAGCTTCAGAGTCCACCACATGGTGACCTGAGTGAGCATCCACTCTAGAGAGGAGGGGGGGAGAGACAGCTCTCTACAATGTTTTAAATTTGGACTGCAGTACCCATTTTAAACACTAGGGGTCAGAGTTACATACTGCTCCTTTAAAGTAGAGATTTAAGATTTTTAAAGGTTACAGAAAGAGGTGAGAATTGGTTAAAAAAATTCTGATATAACTTCAGACATTGCAAGTTTACTGAATTTCCAAAGCATAATTAATTAATCTCTTAAGGACAAAATAAGTAAGAAGGTGATAAAGTCATTTCTACATTTAACATCCTCAGGCTGTATGTTGTCCTTCTAATAAAAACTGTTTTGGTCTTTTGTATATCGTCGGCTTATTTTGAACAAATTAGGTGAATATTTAACAGCTTACGCATGTATATTTGTTCATAATTTCAGTGATTTAAACCCCAGAAACCAGCTGAAGAGAGACTTCACGGAGCTTTCACGCAACCTCAGTGTTTCAGTTTTATCGTCTCAAAGGACTTTAGCGTATAATTGAAATTTGTAACACTCTGTAATATGATTTAGGCAATGCAGCTTACATTTTTCTGAGTTCTTAAGGAGGCTTTGTGACTAAGACCACACACGCACACACACACGCGCGCGCACACAACCCATAATTATCAGATACAGCAGGTAGATATAGAAACACACAGTCTGAACTTACTGAAGGACATTGTATGACCCCACAATTTAAATGGGACTTGTGAGGGCAAAACACACACAGTGCCACTTTAAGTTATTTCACACACGCACGCACGCACGCACGCACGCACACACACGTAAGTTTTCCTGGTTTGATTTGATCCACTGATTCTCTCTGTATTTGGTGTAAACTTAGTGTCAGTACGTTTTCTGCTGTGAGTTAAACACTGAGGCTGCTGGACGACAGCTGTGTGACTTGGTGTATTATCTGTGTGTGTATGTATGCGTGTGCTTATTCAGCTGTTGTTTTCAGACACAAACAGCGCTGAAACATGCGGACACCGACCGGCTGACCTCAGGAACAAAAAAAAAAAAAAGAGAGAGCCAGAAGAAAAGAGAGAAAGAGGAGGGCAGAGGGAGGAGGAGGAGAGAGGAGACAAAAAGAGGGGAGGAGGAAAGACAGAAAGGTTTAGTGTGTTGTCATCTAAACACTAAAATATAGAATAAGCTGAGATGAGTCTAAAAATTGCTGTTTAGTTGATGTGATTGCAGGCTTAAGTTTGATAAAGACATAAAATTAGTCAACTTGTCTTCACCTTATTCAAAAATCTGCTCTGTCGCTTTTTTCATCACCAAATATCTGTTTGAGAAAAACATGTTTGATTGAACTTTCTTCTGTTCTGATGTCCTTGTGTTTAAATAGATTCTTCTGTCAGTCCCTGCAGCTTTACTCCTTGTGTTTTTTATGTATATTCCAGGTATAAGTACTCACTAAAGAAGTCTTGTGGATGTTTACTGGTTAGAGATCAGAAAAGAGATTCAGATAAATATAAAAGGATTCTCCGGTCTCTTCTTCTTTGATGCAGTTATAAAACTTACCCAAGAACTAGGCGTGATAGCAGTTCTTAAAAGGCAATCAAAGTGACTCTCTAATCTCCCATAAGCGTAACCATGAGGGACATCGAGCACGGCAATCATCCGTTCCTCACACTCTTTGAAAAGCTTCAGAACTGATTTGAAAAATGTTCCTGAAAAATGAACCAAAAATGAAAAAATTATCAAAAATTAAGTCTAAATTTTCCAAATTTTTCCAAATGTTGGAACGATCTCAGCTGGTGCAACAGCTTTGATGTTAGTGGTGCGTATACTCCCTCGTAAGTTAAAGGTCACATATTATGTAAAAACACTTCACCATGTTTCTCTAACTCTAACATGTGTCTCTAGTCCGTCTACAAACCCCCCAATGATGAGAAAAGTCCATCCTCTCTGTCTTCTGCCTGCTCCACTTTTCAGAAAATGTGTGCTCAAACAGGCCATGTGGAGAGTTTCCCTTCATGACATCACAAAGGGCAGTAGCCCCTCCCCCAAGTGGGTGACACTCCCACAGCTAGGTCTTTGTTCTGCCCTCTGAGTCTGCCTTCTCACCGTCCAAGTCCTTCCAGAGAGGGGGCGTGGTCAGACACAGCTCATTTACATATTTAAAGGTACAGACACAGAAACAGCCTGTTCTGAGCAGGGCTGAAATAGAGGGGTTTATAGACATGATCAAATACAGGATCAGAGTGGATTTAGAACAAGAAACTTCACACACACCTCAGAAGCCCCTGAAGGGGAGGAGTTGTGGGAGAAGCCCTCCAACAGTCCTCAGAACTGCTCGGTATGAGAAAAAGCTATAGCATGAGACAGAAAACAGATCCTCACCCTGCTCCTTGATCTGCCTGATCTGCTTCACCGTCTCTTTGAGGATGGCACATTTGTCCGGTTTGACGTTGAGGTCGTCCATGTCGTTGATGTTGGCGAAGATCAGCTCGGCCAGCTCCTCGATGTACTTGTTCTCCTGCTCCCGGTTCCTCCTCTCGGTGCTCCTCTTCGGGCTGGAGAGCGAGGACGGTAAAGGAAAGTGTCAAAGACCACAACAACAACAAAAATGAACATACTCAACATTAACCAGAGGAGGCTTCAGGATCACATATTTACTTATTACTGAGATGAAGTCTGCAGTCATGAAGTCTGAACATTGACCTCCCATGTCTTGTCCTTATATTTTTCATTTACCTAAAAAACATCACAACATAATATCCCTAAACTATTATACTTATAGAATACAGCTATGCTCCCTCTCCTAATATCAACATGAATCATCAGTGTCATTGTTTTAGAGCAACTGCTCAATTCAGTCAAGGTAGTTTTCAAATCTACAACTTCCCTGTCGATCTATCAGCCCAGAAACCGCATGGAATTGTGGGTAATTCTTTTCCTCTCTCCTTATTTTAGGCTGGGGAACAGGGGACTGTAGCTGCAGCTATATCAAACATGTTTAATACTCGACATCGTTCTTATACATGTCTGCTGGGTATAAACATTTAGTCGCCATGTGGCAGATTTCTCTGTGAAATTTACTTGCCAACAGGGAAAATCCAGCCACATTTGGTGCTTGGTGGGTGCAAAAGAGGACATATTATCCCCCTTCTCCACCTTTTCAGACAGTCCCCCTGTGGTCTAAATAAAACATCTGTGCTGTGCTTTGGTCAAAATATAACATGAATCAAGCACCAGAGGAGGTTTGTGACCCTGTATAAAGCAGCTCTCTAAGAACGCTCCGTTTTGGTGTGTGTCTCTTTAAATGTAATGAGCCCCCCTGAGTTTCCCCGGTAGACATCACTCCTCTGTAGTGAGAACAGACATGGTGGACCTGTGCAAAAGTTTTGTTCTAGGCTGGGGGTGGAGATACCAGGGGAGGGGAGGGGATTTTTTTTTTTTTTTTACCAGAATCCCACTGTGACATCACAAGGAGAGCAAATTTGAAACAGAGCATTTTCCTCTGTGTTGTAAGACTTATGCAGACCACAAACAAAGGACTGGATGGGTTTATTTTACATTTTGTGGGTCAGTAGACTCTCAGGTTACTCAAATATATGTTCAGAAACAGTCAAAGTGAATTCCCTTTAAATGCGGACCCTGAATTAGTTTTTAGATTGCATCCTCTCAGATCATTTGGAAGTCTGTTTCAACGTCTTGGAGCGTAACAGCTCAACGCAGCATCACAAAATGTGTTTTTGTTCTGCTCTGTGGATCAGCTAAAAGAGGAGAGCCAGAGGATGTGAGGGGCCGTTCTGGTTCATAAACTAAAATCATCTCTGAAAGGTAGTCTGGCGTGAAAACAGATACGAAAACTAACAGGCAACCAGCATAAGGACTTTAAAATGGGCGTCATGTGTGCTTTCTTTTTGGGTCTTTGTCAGCACTCGTGCAGCAGAGAAATAAAGAGAAGGAAAATTATGAGCATTAACACTCAGGTCATTAGAAATGCTCAAATTGCTGAAAAAGCTTCATTTTGTTGGACAGTCAGACCTCCTTCCTTTCCGTGATTTCTTTCTCAGTGATTATTTTTTCTTTTGTGAAACCCAGACATCCTCCCTCCAACGGCAAGTTCACAGCCTCATTACAACCTGAATCACAACATCTCTGTGTCCTCGCTTCAACTTCAGTGCACGGCAACTCAGTTCATCGTCACTGCAACCTTCATATATCCTCCTGGACACCGAAAGAACAACGACTTGTAAGCTCCTGTATAAACCATCGGCTGTCAAAATGCTACCGCAGCATTTTTCTTCATCGACCTGCGGGGGCCTCGGCTCATTTCGCCCTCCCTCACTCCCTCCTCCTCCTCCTCTCTTTTAGCTTTTTTCTTCTACTCACTGACAAAAAAACGAACATAATCTTTTAATCAAATAATTAATAGAAGCCGAATAATCCTCATCATTTAAACACAAAAAATACAACATCTGAAGAAAATGCTTTTGATGCATTACACACACAAATGGTGGGATGAGATTTAAAACAGGAATCAATACGATCCGCAATCAATAAGAAAAACCCTTTAAAATCTGAATGACACCCTTTCCTGTCAGGCTATTATTAGAATGCAAATTATTAATAAATAATTGAACCCTGCACCGTAATGAGGATCATGCTCCAGCGTTGTGTCCACATAAAACAGTTCATATGTCATGATAAGTTTTGCCCCTTTTTTTCTGCAGAGCCAAATAAACGTCCAACGTTTTCTCAGCCATGAACATCAAAAATGGACGCTTTAACAATGGCGTCCCATGCAGACAAACAAGGTAGCCCCTGTAAGGTGTCTGTTGATTTCACTTGGATCAATTGAAACATTGTGTTAGGAGAGGTTGAGGTGAAACTACTTGGTTAAGCTTGTTAAAAACATCATGATGTGGGTTGAGATAAACATCACAATTGACCATTTGTTTAAAGAAAGGACTCAAATTCCACTCTCCTGGGTCTTAGACGATAGATGTCAGACCATGACAAGTGATGCATATCGCCTTTTCTATAACGTCACCTTACTTGTAATCACTTTTCTTAGCTATTGCAGTTAAAATATTCCCAGTAAACAAATTGCATAAGTCTTGACTGATTTCTTGTTTTTTTGGGAGTCTTTTAACTGATATCCCACATTGCATATTTTTCTCATATCCTGCAGGCCGACGTTCCACCTGCTTGACGGCTTGAGCTGTTGCTTCGAGCGTCTGATATTTCCTTGAATGGGTTTTTACTGGAGATCTCTAAATGTACTACGGGAGGTAGAGCCTTCAGTTATCAGACCTGCTCATGGTACAGTCTCTAAATGTACTATGGGAGGTAGAGCCTTCAGTTATCAGACCTGCTCATGGTACAGTCTCTAAATGTACTACGGGAGGTAGAGCCTTCAGTTATCAGACCTGCTCATGGTACAGTCTCTAAATGTACTATGGGAGGTAGAGCCTTCAGTTATCAGACTGCTCGTGGTACAGTCTCTAAATGTACTATGGGAGGTAGAGCCTTCAGTTATCAGACCTGCTCATGGTACAGTCTCTAAATGTACTATGGGAGGTAGAGCCTTCAGTTATCAGACCTGCTCGTGGTACAGTCTCTAAATGTACTATGGGAGGTAGAGCCTTCAGTTATCAGACCTGCTCGTGGTACAGTCTCTAAATGTACTATGGGAGGTAGAGCCTTCAGTTATCAGACCTGCTCGTGGTCCCTACAGTCCCTAAATGTACTATGGGAGGTAGAGCCTTCAGTTATCAGACCTGCTCGTGGTCCCTACAGTCCCTAAATGTACTATGGGAGGTAGAGCCTTCAGTTATCAGACCTGCTCGTGGTCCCTACAGTCCCTAAATGTACTATGGGAGGTAGAGCCCTCGGTTATCAGGAACGTTTCAGGAGTTTTGGGCGAAAGTGTAATAGAACCGTTAGATTAAAAGGTACTCACCTAGGTCCCAGGAGGTCTGACTGACAGTCCTTCCTCTTCAGTGACTCTCCCCCTCTGGGGGGCTCCGGGGTGTTTCCCCCCCACTACTCATCTTCAGCAAATATCAGCACCTGGAGAGCGAACAAAAGAGATATTTTTTATGGTCAGAAGAACTAATGGTAAATGGACTTGTGTGGCACTTTTCTGGTCTTCTGACTACTCAAAGCTGTCACATTAACCCATTCACACACTGATGGAAGAGGCTGCTTTATAAAGGATCCAACTGCCCATCAGTCTATCATTCACACATGGCATAGCAGCAGGAGCAAATTGGGGTTTGGTGTCTAACCCAAGGTCGCTTTGATGTGAGGTTGCAGGAGCTGGGGGTCGAAACCCCAACCTTCTGAGCCACAACTGCCCCACTAATCAGAATAAAATACAACTTGTAAAAAATATGTTGTGCAGCTCATGCATTTAGCGATTTTTTCCCCCAAAAAATGACCTACTGTATGTAACCATGTTGAAACAGAGGAGTTACTACAAGGCAACAGCAGTAACAGCAGTAACAGCTGTTTCAGCATTCATTAGTCTTCTTAATAATATAAATGCATACAAACCTATTCCTTTTCATGTGTTAAGTAGGGGAGCCTTTGCTATTATGCAGCACAAGTGTGACTGAGCATTGATGAAATGAAAAACAATCGGCACTTAAAGATGAGAAGTGCTCTTCTCTCTACTTCACAGCGTTATTAACCGCATTATTCTGAGGGGAGAAATAATGTGATGAAGACGTACACAATCTGTCTGAATGGTGCATAATCAAACAGGGAGGGACTCATGACTCATGACAACAATGTACCATTGTGATGTGCTTTGCAGGCATAATGTGGGAGGCCCAGTGGGAATACAGTAAGTGTCGATAATTACTTGTGTTAGAAATTCATGTAGGCATGCACACTGTTCCAACATGATCCTCGATGGCAATAAAATGACAGCCTTTTATAGAAGTAGGTATTCTGAGAGCCAAGTTTTCTTGGAAGGATAAAAGACTAAAAGTATAGGTAGGTGGAAAAATAAATTGGCAGGGGCGGTTACAACATATGGTCGCCTCATGGTCTTAGAACTTCTACCAGAAAAATGATGATAAGACTCATCTTGTTGGCCCCAAACCAATTGGTTTGTCTTTTCTGGGGTTTGAAGAACCAACTCTCAGCAGCTCTACAAGCTGGATTCTTGGTGATTTGTACAGATAGACCACATTTAAACTACACAGTGAAGTATTCATTTGAGAGCCTGGGTTTCTGTTTCTGGTATCCTTTTTGTATTTAATTTTTTTTTTTTTTTTTTTTGCACATGGCCTCAAACTGGCTATTGGAGAGTGTCTGAATAATCCTTGTTGCAAATGATGTAATATAGAAAATCATAAGGACCAGAAGATAACTTGGGATAACCTTTAGTTTAAATAGATTTATGGGAAATTAAGAATCTTAAGATATTCAAAGAAATGAAGTCAGTGAAAGCAAAAACACCAACGTGGGCCCTTTATGTCTACTGAGGTTACAACTAACAAGATGTCTTTGCACTATGCACCTAATGCCAAGTCACATGAGTCTATCTTGTTGTTCTGATCATATGAGATCCAGACGTCTGATATCCAAACTGTACCATCGGGTTAATTTGTATAATGATGAAAAACTCTGATAGATGATAGATGTGATGGATGAAATTACTTCAAGGAGCCAGAACTGGAAAAAGAAGCAAAGTCAGTTTCATATTTAACAGCCAAATCCAATTTGTTTAAAGCCTTACAGTTTAAAATGACTTTGTCTGCATAATCCCGTTCTTTTAAAATGGCTTGAACACGATGATTTTCTCAACTAAGCTGGTTACTGAGTCGAGGTTTAGAAACGTATAAAGGCAAATTGACAGATTATCTTCTCACAGGATTAAAAATTCAAACAAGATTTGGTGCTTTTGAATGTTACAACGAACTATAACGTATGCACATTATCATAAGTCTTACAGTTACAGAGAGGGAGACGCCGAGAGAAAGAGGACGGCGGGCCTTTAAGGACCTCCAACAGGCCAACATATCACCTGACTGTTACATAACAGCCGGTCAGAGGGGCTGACACTCAGCAGATGAAGGCAGGAAAATGGGATATGGGAGAGAAAAAAAACAAGAGAGAGGGAGGGGAGAAAAGAAAGAGGATTGAGAGTCAATGAGAAAACAGAAATAATGGAAAGGTAAAGGAAAAAGGAGGGGAACTTCATTTACAACAAGAGTTAAGAAAAATACCACAGAGCAGAGGAACACATGGCAGAACAATAAGTGTGTATGGGATATATGTTCTCAATCAGGCAGAGATCAAGTTTAAAGGATATCAAATAAGACAAATGGATGAATGGAGGATAAAAAAGGGAGAAGATGGGGAAGCATCTGTTGCTCTAAATAATCAGGCCTGAGGACGCAGGAGAATATGGCCTAATTATACCAGGAGGGGAGAGGAGAGGAGAGGAGAGGAGAGAGAGAGGAGGGGAGAGGAGAGGAGAGGAGTCTACAAAGGAAAGCCTTGTTAATCAGTGTTTATCATCACCCACTACAGTATATAGTGTGCTAGCAGGATAGCTCTGAGGCTAACATGAAGGTTTGACAGTTACTAGGCTGCTCCTTCACTTTTTAACCACCAGTCATCTGTCTTTGTCATGGATTGCCATGAAACTGTCTTCAATCACACCAATGTCCCCATCATGAATTGATCTGAACCTTAGTTGATAAGTTGTTATCACGGTTTCATGAAGTAAATACGGATCCCCTGACTTTGTTTTAAGAGGAAACTATCAGATGGATTTCCACTGGGCTGATTTCATTAAAGAGCCGGGCGCATTCAATTGAAGAATGTTTCAATGAGTTTTATGAAGTCTAGGATCGGAGGAAAATCTCCATAAAACTGAATTTATCAATGTCACACACACACACACACACACACACACACACACACACACACACACACACACACACACACACACACACACACACACACACACACACACACACACACACACACACACACACACACACACACACACACACACACACACACACACACACACACACACACACACAATCTTGATTATTTAAACATTTCAGTCGATGCCAGAAGCAGATACACATGTAACCACCCTTACAAACACTTGCATATGGAGAGACACATATGTCCATGCATACACACACACACACACACACACACACACTCACAGACACACACATACAATGAATTAACACTAATGTGGCATGCGACAAAAGCCTCTGCCCAACACTAATGCGATCAGAGGAGCCAGGAGCTTCACAAAGTGAAGCCATTTAAAAACAATTTGAGCTGGAAGAGAAGAGACGAGGCCAGAGGGTCAAATCAGCCATTAAGGAATTAAAGCTGGAGATCGATCACAGCCTGCTCAAGTGGACTCTGTCTCCTATGGAAACCAGCGCTTCTCGGTTTCTTTGTTTTTGTTTCTGGAGAGAAAAAGAAAACTGACCAGGGAGGTTTTACAGGTGTGATTTTATTCTGTTTACCTGCGGTCAAGACCACCACTGAGAGGCTCTTTTTCCACATCATCACTGCGATTCAAAGGAAAAAAGCTCTTTAAAAAAGAACAAATAACTTTTGATACGAGCAAATTCATCTGTAGATTTTTATCCCGAGGTTAAGGCCACAACCTCCCCGGTTATATGGACTTGGTCTCGATCCCTAAATGTCTTGGTCTTGCCTCGGGTCTCGTAGCACTCTGGTCTCGGTTAGTGTGGTCTTGATTACAACATGTACTGGTAAAACTCTGAGACCATCAGAAGATGTGTAAAAGTAATACAGTGATGAACCTTTCCTTTGGTTAAATAACAAAGTCGGAACAGAAGACAACTATCTTCAATCTTTTACAAGAAGTGTGTTGTTGCCTCATTGCTGTTAATAAATAAAGACATTGGCTACCATGTGGGTTCATGAGTGTCATCTCTGGTCGGTTCAGCTTTCGAGGACTATCCCTGGAAATCTACTTCCTGTTACAGGTAAGTGTCAGATAACAGCCAGATGGAGGTCAGGTTGGAAGAAAGAGGGGAGAACAAAATGGTCCAACCTGTTTAATTATGATAAGCTGTTCAAATAACAACTAAATAGGCAAGATATTTTTTAACAGGGTCCAGAAAATTAAAAAACAGAAACACAGTCGACAGGGAATGGTTGAATACATGGTTGGGAAGATGTGACAATCACCATTTGCATGAACGCCCAGCCCTGATAAAATGATAGTAGTCATGGTAGTAAAGCACACTATGGGGTTGTTATTAAAGCCACGAGTCATCCTTTAGGCTTAAAGCTTGCAGAATAATTCAGGTTTGGAGCATGTTACAAAAGATGACACTGACCACGCAGTCTTATGTAATGACTGACAGCACACAATTAATGCTAATGTGTTTCTGCAGGGACAATGGAAACATTCAAAAACACCTTTCTGTTTACCTTACAGACATTCAATGTTAAGGGTCAGACTTGTTATTCCCAGAATGTGTGAGCCATTTACTGTTCATGTTTTGTGTTTGATAGAGTTCATGAATTACATTCAATCTGCTGTACTTCACTTCAATGTTGAGTAAATGTTTGTTTTTTTAACTCGGAGTGATTCCACTTGTTGTCACTCTTTACTTTGACTCCACTGAATGTTAATAGTATTTGACACTAAAATATCTAAATCAATGAAACACGGACTAAACCTATGTTACATATACTGTATATGTTTGTCAAATATTTCCAACAGTTATCAAAGCCAGGGAAAGCCGCCATAACATACACAGAATGTTTATCGTTGCCGTGGAAACACCTGATGTTACGTCAAAGGAGGCCTACATCAGGAGGCAGAAACTTGCCATACTGTTGCTGTATTTGCTGCTCTGGCGGCAGTATCTCAGTCTGTCGGGACTTTGGTTAGGAGCCGGAGGGTGGTGGGTTCAAGTCCCAGTTCAGACCAAGTTTTGTAGCTATAGGTTCCAGTTCACTTCCAGTGGACTGCCCATACAGGTGCCCTTGAGCAAGGCAACGAACGCCCCCACCAGCTCAGTAGCGCTGGCTGTGGGTATCCC